TTATCCCCTTCGGTTCCTACGCTCTCTCCCTTAGGCATGATCAAACAAATCTAAATTCAATAATATTTAAATCCTTCTCTTCAATTAAGAGCCTTAGCTCAATCATTTTTACTAGAAAGAAAAAAAAAATAGTACAACTTAAAAATTATTTCAGACATAACTTTTTAACAAAAAGTTCAAAAGGAAATTCTAAAACAAAAATAAAAATATATATAAATAATATTTAGAATACTTAAAAAAATTATATGGGCTGAAGTCAAAGATTTGATTGCTGAGGAGTGTTAATCGTAATTGAATGGTAACACTGTTATTTTGATATGACATTACATATTGATGTTATGAGTGTAAATATGAAAATTTAGGCGTGAGATACATGTAAATACATAGGAATTGATTTGCATGCACCTAAATTTTCCTTATTTTCAAAACCAGAAAAAAATAGAATAAAAAGGGGGCATTTACCTAAAAAGCACACACTTCTATGTAGGGGTGTAAACTAGCCGAAAACGGCGAGCCCAGACTCAGCTCGTGTTCGGCTGTTTATATTTCGAGCTCAAAAAGTGTGTTTGTGTTCGGGCTGGTTGTTTTGAGGAGCGAAAAAGGGGGGGAGCCATTAACGAAAAAAGAGTCGTTTTAACAACCCTAATCACGTAGCCATAAAATGTTAAGATTGAGTCAAGATTTAAAAATTATTATCTATATTAAAACACCATTTGAATCTAATTTAACAATTTTTATTCTATTTTCTTAATTAATACTTTTAATTGATTAAAAAACTTTGTAGCCTTGTAGACAATTAATTTTTTTTAATAAATACTACTCATCAAATATATATATATATACTTGAATAGTAGTATTTCGAGCCAAAATGAGTCGAACACGAACGAACAAACCTTTGTTCGTGTTCGGCTCGTTAACTTAACGATCGAGCCAAACACGAACGAGCTTCTTAACGAGTCGAACACAAGTTATTCGCAAACAACGAACCGTTTTGACAGCCCTACTTCTATGTATTTATGTGTCTCACGTCTAAACTGCATATTTACTCACATAACATTCAAATATTTAACACCATGTCAAAAATAACGTTATTATCATATTAAAAAAAATATGCATTTTCATGTATAAATTTGAAGCACCAAAATGTTATGCATGTATGTAAATTCCCAAACCAAAAAAAAAAAAAAAAAAAATACACAATATTCCCTTTCCTACGTATTTACATATCTAACACCTCAACTTCAATTTCTATGTTCATGGCATCATAATTATACATGAATATATTTTATTTTTTAATAAATAAAATAACAATATTTTTAATATATTGTTAAAAATTTAGGTGGTATAAATGTAAAAAATAATCCTTACGCACATGTTTGATATGTAAAGACACATGCGCCACACCCCCAAAGAATTAGGTAAGTCTAACATCAATGAAGAAATCAGAAGACCACAGGATTGAATTTCCATGCTTGCAAAGATAAGCCAGCATCTTGGATTTGAGGGACTTCTTTAAAGTTGGAATGTGCAGTTGAAAAAAGAGAAGGTCAAAACATGGGACCTCTGTATAATTAGGTCAAAAAACTAATGTGAAAACCTGAAGCCGTAAGAAGATGAAATGAACGAAATGTCAGACTAGAATAAAAATTCCAACCTTGAACAGAAATTCTTCGCTTCCAGAGATCGGCCATCATTAAAGTCGTACAAGTAACCTTTAAGATAGAAGCTTCTATTTACAGTGGTGGACTATTGCTTTCATAATTTCTCTCTAAGAAATCATTTTCTGGTCACAGCAAATCGCCACAGTTTTAGAAAAAAATATTACATCAGGACTCCGCATGTAGGGTTATATGAGGAGTCCAGTGAAATCATATCACATAAGTGAATGTGAGAAAAAAAAAATGCAGCCCGATAACGCAGGAGAATATTCCTCCAGTGTTATTCATGTATTATTGTGTGTTATTCAAGTGTTATTTATGCGTTATTGTGCTATTATAACATCAGTAATATTTCCAGAATACAATAACACATAAATAACATACAATAAGACCTAAATAACACAGAGAGAAATATTCCTGTGTTACCTGTGTTACTGGGAATATTCCCCTATGACGTGATTTCATTGGATTCCGCACGTAACTATACGTGCAGAGTCCTGATAAAAAAAGTAACTATACGTGCAGAGTCCTGATGTAATATTTTTTCCAGTTTTAGGTGGTTAAGAACGTTGCCATATTTTTATGGAATCAAAATGAATTTTTATCATTTATGATTTTAATTTTCTATCATTAATAGAATCAAGTATTAAAAGTTTTATTTATTTTGTTATACGTCCGATTAAATTTCTCTTTAAATTATTTCTCAATAAATCAAACCTAAAATGTACGAAATTATTTTTTTTTGTATTTGGCGAGTCAGACGAGTTATCAAGTTCAAAATTTGGTATCAGAGCCAATTTAGTAACACATCTGCCTTGATTGTGATACAATTGAGATTGTCAAAATTCATGATTTAAGTCTTCATATGTGAGTTTGTATACAAATATTTGGAAATTTGGCATATATAATGGCTTTAATTTTGTTTTGATGTATACATGTTACTCATTTAGTCATAGATATATAATGATTGTTGATTTACAAAACCATGATTATGGTTCAACTATAGATTTCTATATTTTCATTTCTATAAAGTTTGGAAATAAAAATATCAATTTATTGTCTTATAAAACATGTATTCAATATTTGCACTTTGATCCTGCATAAATTTAGTTTTTGTAGTCAATTTCTATGCTTATGAAATAATGCAAATAA